TCTTTCACACGCTTCTGGATGGGCCCCCCTCAGTGGATTTCCCTCTCCACTTCTCTTTTCCCGGAATATTCCACAGCCATCGATATGTGGTCCGTGGGCTGTATTTTCGGAGAGCTGTTAACCCAGAAGCCGCTTTTTCCAGGAAAATCCGAAATAGACCAAATTAACAAAGTTTTTAAAGTAAGTCTGTGGTTCTCCCCGTCCATATTTAAGGATTGGTTGTGATGCTTTATAATAGGATCCAATAACATTGTCACTCGATAACATACACACACGCACACACACATCTCAATTCCAAGCTTGCAGTTTGCAATTGTTAAGGTTTACAGTGGGAAAAGAGCTTTGAATGTTGGATCCCAACCCTGTGAAATATACCGCGGTCCCTTCTTTGGGGTTTTAGGCAATTTGCATAACTTTGATAACAAATGGAGCTGTGGTGAGATGGACTGTATTGGGCCTGCAGGGTTGTGGCAAGTACAGATGCAGGGGTTTATTCAGTAAAACATGGTGTAAATTTGGTCATCGAGAATCCAGATAGATAAATAGGATCCATTCGGCTACTATTCCTGTTGTAATTATTATTTTTTGTTTGATTATTCCCCCCTCCTTTTTTTTTTTAAAGAACCGTCTCTAAACCAGCTTCCTAAAGTTTTCCTTTCTTCTGTTAAAGGACCTGGGAACTCCGAGTGAAAAAATCTGGCCAGGGTATAACGAGCTACCAGCGGTAAAGAAGATGACGTTCACTGAGTACCCGTATAACAACCTTCGCAAACGGTTCGGTGCCCTCCTTTCGGATCAGGGATTTGACCTCATGAATAAGTGAGTGGGGGGCTCCTTTCAAGAAAGCAAGAAATGAGATTTTTGCGGGGATTAGAATGGGACCCAAATCCAGGCCAGAGTTAGATGAGCAGAGGGGCAGCTGTAGTTCTCCAGGGAATTTTGACAGTTGGTCCCCATCCGGGTTGACCATTAGCCTCTCATCTGAAGGCTTTTTTTAAAAAAAAATTTTCCTACATTTGGGTAAAATCCAGGTTTTTTGTTTCCCCCAGTCCACTGATCCACGCTCAGCAGCTGACACCAAGCAAAGCCATTGTAATCTCCTGTAATGCCCCCCGTGCAATTTCACTCCAGGGCATTGTGGGAAATGGAAAACAGGCAATCATATGCTTTTCCAGCGGGGGGCAGCACCTAGCCAATCTTGGTCAAGCCTGGGCGCAGGGACTGAAGGATAGGAAATTGAAAAATCTTCTGGGAAGAAGGCCATGAAAAAAATGACGTCATTGCCCTGAAAATGACATACCTCGACTAAAATCTTTATTTTTTAATCCCTTGTGTAGAACCAATATAATTCTATAAAGCAGTGGTGAAAATGCTGGTAGGTTCAGGTTGCAGAACAGCCTGGCTTGAGAGATGGATCAGTGGTCTTCCAATATTTATTCAATATCCACCCCTCATTGAAATAATCCCAGGGTGTATGCACCGTAGAGGACTAAGTTTCTCAACCTTGGCAACTTTGTAATGCGTGGACTTCAACTCCCAGAATTCCCCAGCCAG